CCCCTCTGTCCATCATGGGGAGCCCACAGCAGCCACTGCAGCTCCTCCAGTCTGTCTGCTCCGCTGAGGGACATCCCCTCATTCACAGGGAGGTGGGAGGCCTCACTTGAGAACTTTACTATTACATGTCAGGTGCAGTCCTAGTCACGGAGGAGTAATGACACACAAGGAGCCATCACCCCCCAAACTCCCTCCCCACCCCCGACCTTCCCAGAAGGGTGGACATGCCAGAGGCTGCAGGGTAACTGACCAGCTATTCTCATCACCAGATTTAGCCCTCGATCAGGTCTGACTGACCTGCTGCATGGCCCCCCACCCTCAACTACAAAGTCAGAGGAATGACCATGGCCCTTCTCAAATTATACGCCATTAGCTCAACAAATATTTATTAAGTACCTACTATGTTTTCACATCTTATTTAGGTACTGGGATCCAGTGGTGAATAAGAACAAGATCCCTACTCTTATGGAACTTCATTCTACTGTAAGAGAAATGTCAAAGAAAAGGTGTAGTCCACTGCCACCATGGCCCTAATCAATGGCCTTCCTGTATCTACCCGCCTTGTCTTATAATTTCTGCTGCCCTTTCACTCTGAATTTGGGCTGTTCTTGTGACTTGCTTTGGCCAATAGAATGAGTGGAAGTGACAGTGTACCAGTTCTGAGCCCAGGTCTCAAGAAGCCTAGCAAGTTTGCATTCTCTGTCTCCTGGGACCCTGTCATTGCCATGAGAATGCCCTGGACTATCCTGCTGGAGATGAAAACCCAGAAGGAGGAAACTGTGACATTGCAGCTGACAGCCACCCACTCCCTAGAAGCAGAGCCATCCAGCTCTCGGGGGGGCACATGAAGGGGCCCAGCCAAGAGCGGAAGAACTGCCCACTGGAACTCAGCTTCAACTGCCAACTGCAGAATTAAGAGCAAAATTAAGTTGTTTTGACAGCCACTAAATTATAAGGTGGGGACACAGCAAGAGCTAGTTGATACACAGGTGACCACGGATAGTTCTATGAAGATAAAACTGAGAACAACTACCATTCAAGTGCTTGCTGAACCTGGAACTTTGCTGACAAGATCTTGTAAACTATAGCTGTTGCTGGGTACCTCTCTAGCACACAGGTATCTGACACAGAACCCCCAAGAGGCACACCCACCTTGCAAGAGAGGATGTTCCCGAAGGTGGAGAAGGTGTCATACAAGGCCTTGTTGTCAATGGAGTCCTCCAGGTTCTTGATGAAGATGTTGCCCACACCCGACTTGCGAAGTCCTGGGTCTCGCTGGGACCACATGATGCGGATGGGCTGGCCTTTGATCACCTCAAAGTTCATTGTGTCCAGTGCCCGCTCAGCTGGACAGAGGGAGAGAAAGGGGCAAGTTGAGAAGATTTTTTTCCCCAGGCCCAGAGAGCTTGATTGGAAGCTGAGCCAAAAAAAAAAAAAAAAAAAAAAGAGCCATGCTCTGGGTCTCACTTCAGATAAGAGCCTGAAGGCTCAGGAGGGATAAACAGGAAGAATTAATGTGTATGGCCCTCCTCCCACCTTCCATATAGGATCTCATTCAACTCTTCACCATAGCCATGTGAGCATGACTTCCTATTCCCATTTTACAGAAGGGCAAACTGAGGCTCAGAAAGGGGAAAGACCAGGAGGGCCCCTGTGACAAGGGTGGCAGCAGTGTGAGGAAATTGAAGGTCAGAGGTACTGAGCAGCAGAGTCGAGATTTGATCCCAAGGGGTATGGCTTTCAGGAAAGTGAACATCACCTCTCTGAGCCCATTTCTACACCTGTAAAGAGGGGATGATGATATGACCCACCTTTCTACATCTAACAAAGGGAGAGAATACCATCTGCCTCCAGGTTATCAGACAGGCTGAAAGGCAACAAGGTGTGCAAGGCACCTTGTACTTTACACCCGGCACATTAGGTGTTTGGTAAATGGTTATGTGTCTAAAAACAGCAGCCTATGCCCATCCTCCTGCCACTGCTACAGCCTGTCCCCCTCCCAGGTGGTACGCTGTCCGCTGCTTCAGGGATGCCTCTGGTTCAGAGGCGTGGAGGGGAACTGTGGAACACTCAGTGGGCAGGTTTCGAGAAGTCCGGGTTTTCCATCTGATCCTGCCATAAACACCCAGGAGGAAAATCCTTCCCCTCGCTGGAGCTCAGTATCCCCATCTATGAAGTCTGGCAAAAAAGGTCAGGTGCTGCAGGGCTTGGAGGAAGGTGGCAAGAGGCAGCGGGTGGGTAAGAAGGCTCCCAAGAATCCAGCACAGCCCACCTGCTGGGAAACTGGCAGAACCACCTCAGCAAACTCCCAGCGCAGGGAACCTCCCCATCCTCCCGGCAGACTCAGAGTAAACGTGCCCCCTTTTGGACTTGGCTAGGGGAGGCCTAGTTAGGTTTCTGGAGTCTTACACCTGACCGCTATAGTTACTGTGATTTTTCTTAGGTTAGCACTTACTAAGAGCTTTCAATGCACCACGTGATACTGGAGATACTTCACACAGTTCTCCATTCCTTTGTGCTACTGGAGAATAAGCCTCAGCCCCATTTTACAGATCAAGAAGTGCCAAGTGTGAAATCTTGCTCAAGCTCGCACCCTAGTGGCAGAGATTAAGCAAAACCCCAGGCTCGCTCTTAAACGTATCGACTCAACCGAAGTGGGGACACACCCAGCTGGCAAACTAATCAATCCTATCAGCTCTGAGAAATGGGTTGTGGAGCCTGAAGTGGAGGCAGCTTTTTTGGTTTCCGAAGGTAGAAACGCTGCCGGGCGGGAACAGCCGCAGCCCCAAGCCCAGCCCGCCTGGCTTCTCTACTCGTTGTCTCGGGGCATCTTCCCCTTCAGGTGCTTTGAATTTCGCACCCTCCCAACCACTGTGTAAGGCAGGTACCATCCCCATTTCGCAGACAGGCAAGTGAAGCTCAGAATGATTGATTTACTTGCTCAAAAACTGCAGAGCTGCAGGCTTTCTGATCCCACGTCTGGCTGACCCCAAAACCCTTGGCTCTTTGCACTTAGCCTTAACACCTCTACTCCGTAAACAGGAGCACCAGTATAACACACAATAGGCGCACGCTAATTGCTACTTCCTGTTTCAGGGGCCCCTCAGGATCCCTTCCAACGCCCTGTATCTCTGGACCTCAGTTTCTCTGCCTGCAAAATGGAAGATGAAGGAGCAGCAGCCAGAGATGAAAGCGCGGGTGGCCGGGATGCTATCTGTACGTCCATGCGTTCCCCCTACCCGCTTCCCAGGGCTCACCGTCGGCCGGCTGCTGGAAGTTGATGTAGGCATAGCCCAGCGAGCGGCGGGTGGCCACGTCGCGGCACACGCGGATGGACAGGATGGGGCCGGCGGGTGAGAACTTCTCGTAGAGCATGGCCTCGGTCACATCGGGGTGCAGGTCGCCCACGTAGAGCGAGGCGAGCGGGTAGCCGGGACCGCTGGCATTCATGGTGGGCAGCTGCGGGGACCGCGTGTAAATCCAGGAGCCGGAAGGGCGTGCGGGGGCGCGCGGGGCGGAGGGGCTTTTCCTACCCAGGCCCGCCCCCCGCCTTTACCACCCACGCCGCCCCAGGCGCCAATCGCGGACGCGCTCGGGTCCCGCCCCGCACCTGGGGCCTCTCAGGCTTCTAGAAGCCCCAGGTGGGGGGCATCTCTGCCCCCGCGACAGGAGCGGGGAGAGCCCTCACCTGGCCCAGGGTAGGGCTGCCGGGACCTGGGGGGAGCTCCGAGCCGTTGCCAACAGCGCAGAGAGGGCGGGGACCGGAAAGGCGGGGAGACCTGGGTTCTAATTCCAGTTATGTCAATTGTCCATCTGCGCCAGTTCCGTTTCCCTTCTGTGTGAAATGGGGAGGACTCCCTCTTCGCAAAAATTAAAGGAGACCGTGTGCTCTATGCGTTTCACACACAGAATTGCGAGCCGGATGCCCAGTTTCAAAGCTTGTGTACCTTGCCTCCTGAAAGGGGTCTTTTTCTCATCAAAGAGAGCCTGCCTGATCCAGTCCCACCTTTCTGGAACCTGCTTGGTGACTTGGGATTGAAGGCTCCATATGAGAATTCCACACTACTTAGGCCTTCCTTGACCCTGGCTCTCCTATTGCCAAGACCTTTTTGTGGGCTAGGCTCTGAGCACCTCTTTCTCATAAGGAATCCACTTCCACCTGCGCTCCACCAGGAAGGTTCACCAAGTCCCTCGGGGCCCCGTCTCAAGGGAAATGAACAGTAGGGACCTCACAAAACAAGGTCATGGCGGTGGTCCCAAACTGAGCATCAAGACCGCCTGTCAGTCTGAGCCTACAGCCCCAATCTGTGGTGTAGGGTCACTTTTGAAAAACGAGTCCCATCCACTATGGATCCATACTTCACCGGGCCTCTCCTGGTTTCCGGCTTCAGTAAAACAGGTAGGTTCCCACTGAACTTTGGTTGAGTGTGACAGGTGAACAGCTTGGGAAACTAGGGGCAGGAGCTAGTCTGGCTGCCCAGCCTACAACAGCAAGAAAGCACCAATTCCAATCTTGGGCTTGAATAACTCCCTATCTTTTCCCCTCTTCTTGTGGGAGTGTGGATTTTTTTTTTTTTGAGGGGGGGAAATCCCATGAGGAAACTCCGTGCTGCAGGCTACCATAAACAGTATTAGGGCAGGTGACAGCTGGTATGACCTCGGAGATGACCAGGACTTGGGCAACCACCTCTCACTGGCTTGGTTACAGCTCAGAGTTTTAGTAGAGGGAGTGGTGTGTGAATGGGGTGCAAACAGTCCATACCAAATCTTAGAAGCCACAAAAGCAGACCTAAGCCCTGGACAGTTTGCTGTGGAAGGTGGAGAGGCTGTGTGTTAATTCGTGGCACTTTCTTCCCCTTTACACCACCTTGACTTCTGGTTCTAAAGGATGAAACAAAGCAGTTGCCTACTTTTACAGTCCTAAGTTTAAGTGTGATCAGAATAGTCAGCTAGTTCTGGTAGTGATACGGGTGGCACCACACATCAACGCACAGGACAACTAACTGATAAAAGTTTTTATTTCACTTTTGAGTTTTTACACTTTTCCTGATTATTCCGTGTAAGGTGGAAACTAGAACTGTTTAAAAGACATACACAAATCTAGTACATCAATAACCGTTTTTTTTTTCTTTTTTGCTATACTATTTTCACAACCACGGGTGTGCTTGCTAGGCAATATAACCATCACAGAAGCAAACGTGAGGCAGAATACTGGTAAGGAAAAACAAAGCGAGAAAGAGCTACCAGATATACAGACAGGCTCGTTCCACATTCACTACTGCATTTCCAAGCGCCAAGTATTAACTGCACATTTTTGTTCAGCTAGAAAGGAGAGAGGGATTTTTTTGTTGCTTTTTTCTTTTTTTCTTTTGGTTTGTTTGAAATCAGTGCATGAATGTTTCTTTTCTCATTTCAGCAGATGGACAAACAGATGGACACTAGAGCTACATGGAATGTTAAGGGAGCGGGGTACTGTGAGACTGGTAGGCCTGGCTACTCCTGACTCTCCCCATTGCAGTGTGCATGCAACTTCCCTGCATTATAGGGTCTTGTGGAAACATGTCTGTGAACTTGGCTGGATGGGTACACTTGGGAGAGCTGGTGACAGGTGCTTACAAGCATCCTATAAGGGCTGATGGCAGTACAAGGAGAAATCATGGATATTTAAGACTACTCTTTTTGATTCAGATCTTGGTGTCACTGAAGAGCAACAACTGTGCTGAGAACTGGAGGAAGTCAGAGCCGTGATGCTGGAAGCTCTTTTCAACTCTCCGAAGCGAGGCCGGCTCACCAACATGCTCACCGACATCTCTCACCCCCTCCAGGCCTCCTGTCCCTGCCCAGAGTATTAAACCATGAACAAAAGGCAAGGAAGCAGGACAGAAATATACAGAGGGAAGAAAAAACCAAAGGCAATGGTCAAAAAGGACAGTGGGAAAGAATGTTTAGATTCCAAAACTTAAAAGCCCCGAGCTAGGAAGAACCCAAAGATGGAGTACTTACTCCTCAAGTGAAAGGCAATCTCTGCAGAACATTATTCTTAAAGGTATTGCCCAGGAAACAGATAAGGCCATTCATAAGATACACGGCTTTTTTTCCCCACTTCTTTAGCTTGTGGTTACACGGAAAACAGATTCCACTACTGAAGCACAAGTTGCCAATCAGTGATGTACTGCTGCTGTAGGAGGGGCCTGAGTCACGTGTGGTCTGTGAGCACGGGACCTTTCTATGGTGTTAGAACCCAGGTATCTGCCACAAAAAATGTTCATTTCTGGCTTCGAGTTTCCTCAGAGGAAGACACTGGATGTCTGTGGGCACGAACTTTTGAGCTGCGACAGCTCCAACAGGCCAAGTGTCTACAAGCCCGGAATAGAACAGGCAGAGAATTAACATGAATCACTGTGAAACTCGAATGCCAAACGAGAGGTGTCTCACTCCAAGTCCCAGTGTCACAATATAATCTCTATAACTTTCTGTACAACTTTACAATGGAACTGTATTTCAGTGACTGTTTTGATATCAGATTAAACTTTCGAAAAGTTATACATAATTCAGGTCTATATTTTTTTTCTACCAGTAAGAGTTCTGCTAAATTACAAAACCCCATAATCACAGTGTTCAGTTTTTTTTTTTAAAAATTAAACACACAGTAATCCTGTCAATGTTAATCAAAATCAGAACTTCAGAATGCCGTGGCATTTATGTGACCAATCTGAGTTTTAGATACAAATACCAGCTGTTTATCCCATGGACCGTTTTTGCTAGGCTGAGGCTGTGAAAAATTGGAAGTCGACGTACAATTCTTTTTTTTTTTATCGCACAAAGGGATATATATGGAGGGTACAGAGTGACACTGAATAGATCACGAAGCATAACAGACATTAGTTCTCTCCCTCCCCAGCATCTCCTTCGTCTCCCTGGTTTTCCGACGTCCACAGCTGCAAGAGAAAAACAGAGCTATGATCAAAGCAGGGCTACTAAAAATGTACTCAGGGAGGTGGCCCAGTCTGTATCATCTTATCTCACTCAACTGTTTAAAATTCTTCCCACATCACTGTAGACAGTGATTGGAAAGGTCAAAACTTCAGCAGTCTACTCAGCCATAAGAAAGAATGAAATAATGCCATTTGCTGCAACATGGACGGACCTAGAGATTGTCATATTAAGTAAAGTAAGCTAGAAAGAGAAAGAAAAATACCATGAGATCGATTATATGTGGAATCTAAAGAAATGACACAAATGAACTTATTTACAAAACAGAAACAGACTCGCAGACATAGAAAACAAACTTATGGTTACAGAGGTGTGGAGGGGAGGATGGTGTGGAGGGATAAATTGGGAGTTCAGGATTTGCAGATACTAACTACTAGATATAAAATAAATAAACAAGGTCCTACTGTATAGCACAGGGAACTATATTCATTAGCTTGTAGCAGTTTATAATGAAAAAGGATATGAAAAGGAATACATATATAGACGTATAACTGAATCACTATGCTGTACACCAGAAATTAACACAAATTGCAAACCGACTATACTTAAAAAAAAAACTTCAGCATTTATAATCAATTCAACAATTTAAGAATTTAACTATACTTACAGGGTACAAATCCCCTCCTGAGTCTTGGGTAATAGTAAATTATGAGGTAGAGGGATAGGAACGAGCTATAAACCCTCCAGAGGCAGTCACGGAATCAGCAGTACTTACAGTGAGATTGTCCCTAAGCAACTGCATGATCAGGGTGCTGTCTTTGTAAGACTCTTCATTCAGTGTATCCAATTCCGCAATTGCTTCATCAAATGCCTAAAACAAAGAGCCTTTAGAAAGAAGTCACAGGCTCTCTGGAGCCAGTTTAGCCCAATACTTTTCTGCTAACAAGTGAGTATCATTTCTCTTCCGGTACAGTACTCTGGGCGAACTCAGGCCATTGTTACCTTGTTTGCTAGTTAGGTCAGCAAACATACAATGCTGGCTTATAAAGCATCAACCAACAATGACAAAAATGCCCAGATAAGAACTGTACAGTACCTGTTAAGTCAGCAGGCATTACTGTTACCCCAGCACACTCATTCTAAGCAAATTCACATGATTTTGTAATTACCAAAGACCTTTCTAGTAATCCCCTCTTCCCCCCTCTTTAAGCTGAAACTCAAAAGGTCTGGATAACAAGGGATAAAGGGAAAACAGAAGTTCACACCACTAAATCTGATTCAATTAAGTGATAGAACTTTGAGCATTCATTTCACACACTTTTTACCAATTAAAAAATGTTTAACTAGTGTGCATGGTGAAAGACTACAAAAATATGTAGAAAAGGCAGTTGAGTTACTAAAAGAAGAAAGGAGGAAAATCAGTGCACAAAGAAGACAAGGTCTGATTTCTTTCACTTACACAGCGGCAACCTCACATCTTGGTGCAAGCATGACAATGTAGAGCAGAGGCCGACAGCCCCAAGGATGACAAGAAACAACCACCTACCCTCAGCCTGGATTGTCCACAACCAAATCCCCAAACAGTAATCAAACAACACAAAGGAAAATCAGCAAGTGGCACTGAGAAGAAACTAAGAAGTAATAGGTCTGTATTTATTTCATAAAAGAGAAACTCCTACCCCTAACAAAATCTTCACAGAAGTTCGAGACAGTAAGTTATGTTCAGGTCATAAAAAGAAGGTGTTACAAAGTATAAACAGTTTTACTATGATTAGAAACCACAGACGATTTTTCTCACCGTTTTTGCCAGGCTGCAAGCCTTTTCAGGAGAGTTTAGAATCTCATAGTAAAAGACGGAGAAATTAAGTGCCAGGCCCAGTCGAATTGGGTGTGTAGGCTGCATTTCTTTCTTACTAATTTCAAAGGCTTCCTGATAAGCCTGCTGAGAGTTCGACACAGTGGCTACAAGAAAGAAAAAATATTAAAGGTTGGGTCGTTCATCGCTTGCATTATACACTGGTTCCACTATCAAATTATTTTACCAAACTGGGCTGGAGCAAATACCCTATCGAATGAGGGGTCAGTAAGTCTCTACCAGTTGATTAACAATCATTTGTTAAATGTTTAGTCTAGTCTAAGTACTGTCTTAAATGCTTTGAGGGAAAACAAAGACAATGATGACAAGGTCTACAAAAGCAGTTAGGAAATACAGAACTAACCCTGGACAAGAAAGAACAGGGAAAACAGCATGCTCTAATGGAGAGACACGGACTTCAGAGTCAGGCTCAAAACTGGAATTCCCAACACTTATTCGCTGGGTGTGTGGTTTAGACTGAGTGAAAATCCCCAAGAGCCTTGATTTCCTTAGCAGAAAAAATGGACAGACTCCCACCTACACTCCTTGCGTTGTGTGAGGACTAAATGAGACACAGCACAGCTCTAAGTATCGCCACTGCAGTAATGCACGTACGTGACAGAAGGAACACATCTCTACTTCACAATGGAGGCTTCATTCTATCAAACATTTTAAAGTTTCACCTCTAAAAAGAGAGCTACCAAATAGTCCTTAAAACAAAGATCTCCTTCAATGCACTACTGCACCGGAGTTTTAACGCCCTCCACATTTGCCCCTTAGATACATTTGTCAACCCCCATGAGCCTTTTTATTACTGGTCAGCACAATGCTGTGATCCTTCAAATTCTGACCACAGACAAAGCAAAAACTTAAAATTATTATGAACACTGGCACCACTACCGGTCAAATTTCTTAAAACAAAAAAATTGCTTACTTTGTTTATTGTCTCCAGATGCCACCTCAGAAAGATATCTAAAATAATCTCCTTTCATTTTCAAGTAGAACACCTTACTTTCTGGTTGTGTAGCATTGGGAATAAGGTATTTGTCCAACAGCTCCTAAAAAATGATTCACATTCTGTTAAGAAACTAGAAATATTACAAGATGTTAAAATTATGTTTGAGAGTCAAGATACACACACTACTACTTCTAAATAATGTTTTGGGAAGATTGAAAAAAACGTATTTCTCATCCAAAGCTTTTAAATGGTTTTTAGCCCAGGTCATAACAGATGTCTATTAAAAAAATCACCTTGACCATCCACAAGGGGTTGATTAAAGTATTAAAAATGATGATGGGGGAGGGTATAGCTTAGTGGTAGAGTGCATGCTTAGCATGCACAAAGTCCTGGGTTCAATCCCCTGTACCTCTATTTAAATAAATAAGTAAATAAATAAATAAACTTAACCACCCTCAAAAAGCTTTAAAAAATGATGATCCAGAACTACACTGGTAACATGAGAAGGTTCTCAAAAAAGAAGTCTGAGTGGAGGGAAAAAAAGGCAGATAATAAATACCCTGTGAATTCTATTTTAATATCAACACATATATGCGTACACGCACACAAATACCTGAGGGAAAAGTCTGGAAGGATATTTATCAAGATGTTATTAATGATTCTCTAAGTGGTAGGATTAGAAGTGATTTTTTATTTTCTTAGTTATACTCTTCTGCCCTGTGATTTTTTTTTTCACAATGAACTTCTATTATTTCTGCAATTAGAAAAAAAAAATCTTTCCATTTGGGGAGAAAAAAGGTGGTAACAGAGCAAAACTGACAGGAACTAAGAATCAGTCAGACCTGGAAAGAAATACCTTCTCTGCTGCTTACTAGCTCTATGACCCTGGACAAATGACCTCATCGCCCTGAGCCTCAGCTTCCTCAGCTACACACAACAGAATACTACTCAGCCACAAAAAAATAAAATAAAATAATGCCATTTGCAGCATCTCCTAGGGAAGTCATGAGTATAAATGAGCCAACGTTCATAAAGTGCCTAACACGTTGCTGGGCACGTAGTAAGCACTCCAAAAGTCGCTAATACTATTATTAACAATAAATTCCTTTAAACATTTATGCTTACAACAAAAGCAGTTCTGAAGGAGTCCACGCTTCGTATACAGAGCAATATTTTCGAAGAGTTGTTTTAGAATGTGGCATCCTGAAAAACTTGGTTAAGAGGCAGTAAGTACCATGCTTTCTTCACATTCTTTCAGATGCTCTTAAAAGCTGCAGTTCAGGAAGTATGGAACTTTCTTGCCTTTGGAATGCATGCCATACGTCATCTGAATACCAGATGGACCTAACATTCAGGAATTAGTGCACCATTAACAAACCCCAAATTACCAACAAGGCAACAAATTTAGCCATGACACTCTTACACCATGAGTCTAACAAAAAGAGCAGCTCAAGGCAAAAGCTTAGTTGTGAGGGGATTTAATCAATCGCAGTGAGAAGATGCAGGGGCAGCAGCCGTTTTAATATCCTTTGTGGACAGACAGGGTGTAACTCCTTATGGGTTAGGGATGAGGAGTACTGCCTGATGGCTGACAAGCTCTGTACTGGTTTTCAAAAGAAAGGTGTCATGGGCAGTAATTCGGAGAGGCAGCCAGCAGGGGAGGAGGTAGATCCACAAGTGTGAATTCCTTTTCCCTTCAAAGCAGCCCTCACCGTTCATTTTTACCTGATTTCACCTGGAAGAAAAAGAAAGTTCCCAGTGGGCTCAGGATGCGAGGGAAAGACAACACCATCATGATTTGCTCTAGGATACGCACCCCTCCCAGCCAACCCCAGGTGGTGGCTAGAGTGAACGCAGTTTGGAATCAATCATCTGACTAAGGTTTCTATAAAACACAGGAGAGAATCCCGAAACCACTTTTGCTCTGGCCTCAGAATGCAAGGCTGAACTGACGGGCACGGTAACTTTCAGACAGAAACAGGACTCTCCACTGTGCAGGCATGACCTGGGCGAGGCTGAAAGGCAGGTCAGCTTTTGGCTTCTATCTCCCCTCCTGGGGATGGCATCGCGACTCGGACCAACACAGAGAATAGCTTCTCTCTGTGGCTGCATCTACCGAAAATTCACCTTTGGCCTCAATTTCTAAAGACAAGATGAAGGGAAGTTGACCAAATGTTCCTGTTTTTCGCAGGTCATTGGAAGAGAGAGGAAAATACTCTTTAAGCGATGAGCAACCTTTGACCAGGTAAGAGGTGAGGAAAAAATCAAATCGTATACTGAAAATTAGTTGCAAGTGGTTTGCAGCTTTCCAGTACATTCAGACACCTTTCTCGCATAATCTGCTTAAGAGTTTGCATTTGTACATTAAAGGGACGCTACTGAGAAACTGCTGTTTGGAACAGAAACACGGGCCTCTTACCAGAACATCATTGCAGATGTCCTGCAGCTCAGCCTCGATCTTCTCCCGGTACTCTTTGCCCATCTGCTGCTTCTTCTCGTTCCTCTCCGTCTTCTGCTCAATGCTGGAGATGACGCGCCAGGAAGAACGGCGGGCGCCGACCACGTTCTTGTAGGCGACGGAGAGCAGGTTCCTCTCTTCGTTGGAGAGCTCGTGCCCCTGCTCCGTGACCGCCTTCATGGCCGCAGCCATGTCATCATAGCGCTCAGCCTGCTCGGCGAGTTTGGCTTTCTGTACCAGTTCACTTTTATCCATGGTCATTCCCTAGAATAAGGAAGAGCGAGAGAAAGAGTGAGAAAGCAAATGTCAGGCTTCAGGGCCAAGGAAATCCATGTGCAAATCTCCTTCCAGCTCATCTGGAAAGAAACACACCTAAGTGGGAACATCTACCTCCAAACGCCCTCAACAATGTCGACCACGAGCGCCTATATAAAGACCTTTGCTCAGGTCTTTTTATCATTTTGGTCAATTAATTTTCTTAACAGTCCTACAGGGTAGATATGTTCACAACAATCCCTTCCCCCTTTTTAAGGTGAAGAAATGGAGGTTCAGAGAAGGTACGTGACGTGCCCAGGACAACACTGCTGGGAGATGGTGGAGTGCCAGAATTCAAACTCCAGTCTCTGTCTCTAGAGCTGTTTTCTGCCACTTTCCTAATCTGCCTCCAAAACACAGAGATTGCTTAAGTCTTTAGAAACTTAGGTAAATATATGTTCTTTACTTCTTTCAAGAGTTGCCTGGTTTTGACCAAATCTGTTTTTTCCCATAGTCTAGAGGTAAACATCTTAGGTGTGACAAGTGCTGCAATCAACCTGAAAGCAAAAGATATAACTTCCAGTGTTATATTTGGCAGTGCCCATCAGGCAGTCGGTACCTAAAAAACAGGAACCATATCTTCTGCAACTCAATAACTTTGCTACAAGGACACACTGTCCACAAGAGCACAGACTGAGGGCGGGCAGATTCGGCCCCATGCAGCACCAGTGCTGCTACTTACAGGTGGTACGACCTTGGGCAAATCACTTAGCCTCTGAGAGCTTCCACTTTCTAGCTGGAGAGTAAGAATACTACCAACCCCCAACGAGGCTGCTGTGAGGAGCCAATGACCTCTATGTGAAGGCACTGTGAAAAGCCTAGAGTATTATCTACAAATACCAGGCACTAATTCTGTACGTGACAGACACTGCAAGAGATATGGGTGTATTCACCAAGACTGCACAGCAACAGAACTTCGAACCATAATTGAATTCAGTTAAAAGTTTTTCTGAAATAGACAAAAATCTTAGTGACTTCAGTTTATCATTTTATCAAGCCCTCTGTACACCTCTTAGTGAATACCTCTTAAATTATTCACCTCATCTTAGTCAATTCCCCACTACAATAATCACCACTGAGAGAATGCAGTAATTTTTGGATAATACATAGCTAAAAAATTGTTTATTAACCAGTAAGAGTTAGTTTTATGTATTGCTGGTTTAAATTTCAACAGCTTATCCATCTGTGTCAGTGTAAAAATACACTAATATCTAAAGGTGTAAAAAGATAAAATACTACTTTAAACAGTAGTAGGGATATCAAGAATTTCAAGGCAAATTCTTTCCTTACTCTATATATGGTATAATTTAAGACTCTGGTTTCACCTCAGAAGTCATCTCTGTATTTCCAAGGGAGGAATTCTACAGACAGGACCCTACCACATAAAAATGTTTTGTTAGATAGAGCACAATTTTAAGATATACCTCAAATCTAGACAATTCAGAAAGAGTTGGTTCTTCTGGTTCAGAACTCTGATTTTTCTTCCCACCACTTATTACCTAAATCATGTTCGGAATTGTGTCCTAGATAAAGCTTGTTAATCCTAACCTTACACTCAGTGAAGCAGGTCTCACCTTGATTTGGCTGACACCACCCACATCACCAGAATGAGACTATAACAGAGGTAATAATCCATCTACTTGCCTACATTTCCCAGTAACCTCCCTGCACTCAGGACAGGTCATACGAAACATTAAGCATAAATGATGCTACTTCCAGGTGCTGAAATGCAAAAAGCCATGTGAGGTTCACCAGGCTCTCTTCTCTCACAGCAGCCATGTAATCTAATGGTGCTGTCACAAAACAGTAGTTTCTGTAGTCTGAGTCCAAGTGACTGTGTTGCGGAGACTCCTGCAGACCTGCACTGGGGACATGCAGTATGAAAAGGAAATAAACCTTTGTTGGGTTAAGCCATTGAGAGGTCAGGGCAGTTTGTTACCACAACACAACCTAGTCCACTCTTATACAAAAATACACTATTCATCGTCTTGAAAATATAGATGTTCTCTGTATGTCTAACTTTCTTGATCATAATATCTTACAGATCAGGATACTATCTCCATCATTAAATCACCCTACTTCATTGTCTCTAAAAGCGAGAGGCAGACAGAAGCCAACTTTCAATGAACTTTCGAAATTTTCCAAACTGTAGACCAATTCAAAGTTAGAAGTCACTTAGTGGCCCACTCCAAAGTTCATAAAACAGCACCTGCACGACTCTACCTAGGAAAGATTCCAATTAATCAAAGTACTGGCCAAGGCCAATTCAAAGCTGAGCCACACCCACTCCCCCCAAAAAAGGGAGTTGGGTAGAGTGCATGCTTAGCATGCACGAGGTCCTGGTTCAATCCCCAGTACCTCCACTTTAAAAAAAAAAAAAAGCTAAACCATCCCATGCAGTTTTACGAAAGAGTAATAGAGACACATGAACGATCGCACAGCTAAAGGATGCCGTGGAACTCTTTGGCCTTACCAGGCCCTTAAATTAGGGCCCTCTCACCCCCACACTTCTTTTCCAAAACATTAAAAGTTAAATCATACCTACTGAAGAATCCTGACTCCTTGGGACCTCCCAAACGTACGTGCCCTATTTCTCAAAATAAAATGCGGCCTTTCTGGTTTGGAGCCAACTCTCTCAAGCTTCTTTGGGATCACTGCAAGAGCTCTTGGAGACTGAGAACCATGATATGGTAACACTGAATGCATGCCTTAAATACTGTATCTGTTTAAAGATGTTTAACTACATACATACACACAAAAAAAGTTAAAACAAACAAAACCCACAGCTAAATGTCCTGACACCTACTGCTTATGTAACTTTTGACTTATATAACATGGATTTTGAAGCAGCCAGACCAATTGCAACAGGAAACGGGTTACACAACACCCAGCAGTTTGGAGGAAGGCAGCAGACATGGGAGAAATAAAATTGTTCCTATTTCTACATCTCTAATAAACCTCCCATCCATAATCTCCCTAGTCCTACTGCTTTTGGTCTTTCATCAGCCCCCTTCTCTGTTATCAGAACCATTCTTAAGGTTTTGATCAAGTCACTTAAAGTCAGATTTCCTCCCATCAGTGAAGGTTTTCCAAGCTATCTTCCCAGACTTTTCCCAAAACATGCCTTCCACAGTGTGTGCTTCTGCCAAAATGGTTTTCTTACAAAGTATGCTTTTTTGTCTCTCTGTCTTTGCTCACCAAGCACTCCCTCTACCTGGAATGTCCTTTCCCACTTATTCTGCATATAAAATTTTTCAGAGCATGCCTCCAATGGCATCCCCTCCATGAAGCCTTTCTGAAGCCACTAAACCTAAGCTGTCTAGTGAGACAGACACTAACCACATGTTGAAATTGTTTTGGACACATGGAGTTAAATTTTTTTTAATTACTAAAATTGATTTTACTTTTTTTTTGAAAAGAACTTTTTTTAACATAGCTACCAGATAATTTTAAATCACATGGGACTTCCATTCTATTTCTACTGGACAGCCCTGCTCTAAGCTGAAGAGTCTCACAAAGCCTTTCATCTATACCTCTCTTAATGTCTTACCACATTTCTCCAGTACCAAAATTATTTGTATATATCCCTTAAGTCCCTTCCTACACTGCAAACTCCTTTAAGGCACATCCCCCGCAGCACCTTGCACATAATCAGCATGAGCAAATTTTTGCTGAATGAAGGAACAGATCCTAAAGTTGCAAATTTGGTAGAGTTCTCCCTCTTCTTCAAAACACCTGTTCTTCACAAGCACATTAAATCCTCATTACTTTTGTACTTCACTCCATGTACTTGTGCACCCTATTTCAAAATGGCTTAGTCATGCCTCCACTCTTACTTAGTAATTTTCAGTGACTCTCTTTGGCTACTCCATCACATCTAAACTCTTCAGCTAGCTTGCAAGGTCGTTCATAATTTGGCTTCTCCATACCTGTTAGGCTTTCTCACCCACTATTCTCCAATATGCACCTTCCCCCCAGTGTGGACATCAATCACCCAAACTCTTGAACGTCATGCTTACACATGCCAGAAATTACTTCTGTAGTTCCCTTCATCCAGAATGTTCTCCAGGGAAGGGGTGGGTGGGTGGGGTGGGCAGAGTGTGTGCTTAGCATGCATGAGGTCCCAGGTTCAATTCCCAGTACCTCCACTGAAAAAAAGAACAAATTAGAATACTCTCCTATTTACTTCCTGCCTATGCAAACTCTGTCCATCCACCCAGGGCTACTCTACTACGAATCCAAATACACTTGTAGCCCCTCACAAAGCCCAGGGCTTCCCTAGGCTCACATTCTCTCTGTTCTACGGGATGGGTGATAATTGGTGTACCACCACAGTTTCACACATGTATGTTCTCAAAGGAAAGCTTCACATTTCTTTCTCATTTAATGCCTAAAATTTTGCCACGTACAAACTAATACTCAAATAAGTATGTGAATTTTTTCAACAAGTCACTCCTGGGAGAGCAAAGAAAACAGGCCACCTATATGTGGTAGGGCAGAAAGGCACCAGGACTGTGTGTAAGAGCGGGATCTGTCACTACACAGCCTGCAAGCTGGGTCAACCTCAGTCTTCCAATCTATAAACTGGAGGTAATGGCATCTACCTCCGAAGATGTGCTGAAGATGAGCAGCAGGGAAACACAGAATGATACACGTGGAGATATTTTTTTAAATGCATATAGTGTAAAACAAACTGGAAGTACTATTATTCCTCTCACAAGACCTACATGTCACTGTTTGGCCCACAAACGTGGGCTTGGAATTTAAAAAAATTTTATACAACCCCTGAGAAGGAAAAGCAAGTCTAGATTTATCTTGTACAGGAAGTGAATATGTTACAATGTTAACATTCCCAGATAAGACGCCACCCCTCAACATCCTAAAAAAATGGACACACTTGTTAACTGTAACACTTTCACTCATCAGTTCCTAATTTAATTAGGAGACAGCAAGCAGTGATGGTTT